GCACAGGGCAGCGCCGGGCCGGCCAGCAGCTGAGGGTCTTGGCTAAGGGTGCCCTCTGCTCCGAGCCCTCCTTCTCTTTCTGTTTCTGTCGCCGCTCATCCCTGTCTGTTCTCCCTCTCCTCCCGCTGCCTCTCTTGCCCCAATTTCTGCTCCACGCTCCCCTGGGGCAGAGTCCCCCCCCCCAGTTCCTGGCCCCGGGGCCCAGGGGGAGAAAGTCCTGCTCCTGGAAGCCATGGCCTTCCTGCCCTCCCCCGCCCATGCCCTCCCCATCTACACTCCCCTGCCCTCCCTGTGCCCACAGGAGGAATCCACCCTGCTCAACCAAGAGTTTGCCGAGGTCTGGGGCCTCAAGGCCAAGGAACTGTTCGACCCAATCTGGCAGAACTTCACCGACCCGATACTGCGACGGGTCCTCAGTGGCGTGCGCATTCTGGGCCCTGCCAACCTGCCCCTGGAGAAGCGGCAGCAGGTGGGCCCCGTGGACTGGAGGGCAGAGGAAGAAGTGGCCAGTGCCTCCCAGTGCCCAGCTGAGATGGGGAGGGGAGCTTGGGCGGGCTGCCTTTCGCGGTCAGCGGACCCTGGGATCTGCAGGGGAAACCAGCCAGAGCATAGAATGGCTTCCTGGGGCATTGCTTTTCCTTGGAGATGGGACGGAACGTCACTTGATGCTACAGCAAATGTCATGGAGTAAAAAGCAAACTGCAAAGAAACCGTAAAAGATGAAACCGGCGTTTTCAGAATTTCTCCCTAGGCAGGTTTGCTTTAGAGATGTCCTTAGAAAGAGTAGGGACTGGGAAGGCATCGAAGCCACCGAGAGTGAGCGGGATTTGCCCTCACTCTGAGGTGGGAGCTGACCCCGAACTCTCAGGACACTTGTCTCCACCTCCAGCGGCTGCCTTCCTTGGTCAGAAGTGCTCCTGGCGCCACTGAGTGGCCTGAACAAGCCACATCCCCTCTCTGAGCTTTCTTTTCCTTTTAGCAAAAAGAGGAGGGATGGCCAAGTGGTCCTGGGCTATTGGTCACTAACAGGTGCTCCACTCTCCCTAGTACAACTCTCTGCAGAGCCACATGAACAGAGTCTTCACTTCTGCCAGGGTCTGCTACCCCAACATGAACGACAGCTGCTGGTTCCTGGACCCAGGTACAACCCTGTCGCTGCTGCCTCGCTCTCGCCCTTCCCATCACCCCGCACCCTGTTTTTCCTGGCAAACTGACTTCTAGAATCTCCAGCCCCATCCACCCCACCCCTCTGTGCTCTGGCCTCTCCCATTGCCACTGGCCTGCCTCCTGACTGCTTGTTGTTGTTTTTCCCTTTCATGGGTGCTCTCAGTCTCCCCACGGGCCCTCCATAGGCCTTAGACGCCTCCCAGCTTCTGATTATGTCCTCCTCTTCTCCCCTCACACCCCACCCCCATGTCCCAGGCCGGCTGAGTCAGCCACTCCATCCAATGAGCCATGAAGGGTCTGTTCGGGTTTCGGCCTTTGGATGTGGCCTTTGTGTAACCACCTTCGATGGGCATTTCCCTGGAGACAATGACCCTGGCTGGGTGCTTGCTTCATAGAGCTCCCGGCCTCATGCCACCCAGCGTATAGATCGCCCTTGGCTTTGGGGGTATCATGATGTTGAGGAAGCGGGTGGAAATGGAGAGGACCAATGTGGGAGCTCTGATGAAGGCTGACGCCGGCTTTGACACAGAAGTCTTCTTTTTTTTTTTTAATATATTTTATTGATTTTTTACAGAGAGGAAGGGAGAGAGATAGTTAGAAACATCGATGAGAGAGAAACATTGATCAGCTGCCTCCTGCACATCTACTGGGGATGTGCCCCCAACCCAGGTACATGCCCTTGACCGGAATCGAACCCGGGACCTTTCAGTCCGCAGGCCGACGCTCTATCCACTGAGCCAAACCGGTTTTGGCGACACAGAAGTCTTCTAACTGACCCTGTTCCTTTGCGTCTCAGACCTCATGCATGTCCTGTCTGTCACACGAAACTACGGGCTGCTGCTGTACGTCTGGGAGGGCTGGCACAATGCCGTGGGCATCCCACTGAAACCCCTGTTCCAGGAATTCACTGCCCTCAGCAATGAGGCCTTCAAGCAGGATGGTGAGCATGTCCTGCCCGCACCCCTTGTGTGGGTGCCGCCCTCCCCAGCTTGAAAGGTGTTCTCTCATCCACTATCTCCCTTGAGCCCCAATTCCTGAGGCAGACAGAGCAGCTGTCGGGATGGCTCCATCCACTGGCCAAAGGTCGCACAGATCATGGATGGCAGAACCAAGCCTGAGTCCCATCTGCCTTCTACCAGGCTGCTGCCTTGCCCTGACACCATCCCTCTGCCCTGCCCCTCCTGGCGCTCCCCGCTCCCCAGCACTCGTCCTTGCCTCTTGGCTCTCCAGGATCTAGTTAGCTGGAGTTAACTCCTGGTTAGAAAAGTATAGACCTCAAGCCAGCCTTTCCACCAGCTGGCACGGGCACAGGCCCCGAGCCAGGAGAGAGGGATGCTGGGAGGTGGAGTGTCAGAAGCTCCGGCCTGAGCTGCACCCCGCCCCCCCCCCCCCCCCCCCCCCCCCCCGCCAGGCTTCGCAGACACAGGGGACTACTGGCGCTCCTGGTATGAGTCGCCCACCTTAGTGGAGGATCTGGAGAACCTCTTCCATCAAATAGAGCCCCTCTACCTGAACCTCCATGCCTACGTCCGCCGCAAGCTGCACCAACGCTACGGGGACAGATACATCAACCTCAGGGGACCCATCCCTGCTCACCTGCTGGGTAAGGACCCGGCCTTGCCTCCACACGTCCCAGGCATTGTCCTCGTCGTCTCCCATTTTAGAGCACCCCACTGTTCCCTCCCACACGCGTGAGCCCTTGAGGCTCATCCAACGCGATCATAAAGCAGGAGATCCTCCTCCTTATCACTCCTGCTGTCCAGATGGGGACCTGAGGCTCTGGACACCTGAGTGACTTGGCAGAGGGCAGAGGGCAGAGGGCAGAGCCAGGAGTCACACTGAGGCTTTGACTCCAGGGGGAGGAAGAAGGATCACAGTATGTGCCCCAGGAGGCCATCCCCAGGTTCCCACCTCAGGCCTGGAAGGCAGGCATCCCAGCACCATCAGAAAGGGCCCCACAGCCTTGCCTGGGCTCCTGCTTGGCACCGGGGCACCCAGAGCACTTGGCACTATGAATGGGACTGATGTGGAGATTCCTGGCCTCAGCCCCAGGCTCTGGCTGCGGGGGGCCCGGGGGGTTCAATGCCGGGCAGGGGGAAGCAGGCTCTGGCCGAGCAGGAGCCAAGCTCTCCGGCTCTCCTCCTTCCTCCAGGGGACATGTGGGCCCAGAGCTGGGACAACATCTACAACATGGTGGTGCCTTTCCCTGACAAGCCCACTCTCGACGTCACCGAAACTATGGTGAAGCAGGTACGGTGCACCCTGGGCCAGGGTGGAGGCAACAGAAGGGAGACAGGGGAGAGGGGCGAGAAGGGGCCACGTGCAGGGGACAGGCTGGGTGGACACTCAGTCCCTCCCTTTCTACAGAGCAGCAGCCCGAGTGTGTGTACAGGCGATAAGCTGGGCTGAATGTCCTCGGGGAGGTACCCGTCCCCCTCTCCAGGCCCCCACTGGTGGGGTGTGAGGAGTCTACTTCGCTTATCTGCTCTGGTTCTTAGGGGCCACACCTCTGGGAAGAGGCCACAGAGCAGACACACCCTCCATGGGCAGGGAGCTGACCTGGGTGGGCGACCCCAGACCTGCCCCGGGGCAGCCACAGTGAGCTCCTGGCAGCCGGGCCCTGACCTGTCCCCACACCCACCCCCAGGGCTGGAACGCCACACACATGTTCCGGGTGGCGGAGGAGTTCTTCACCTCCCTGGGGCTCTTGCCCATGCCGCCTGAGTTTTGGGCAGAGTCCATGCTGGAGAACCCAAACGACGGGCGTGAGATGGTGTGCCACGCCTCCGCCTGGGACTTCTACAACAGGAAGGACTTCAGGTCTAGACACGGGCAGGAGGGGTCTGGGGCTTCGGGAAAGGCAGGCAGCCTGGGCACAGAGCAGCCCGTTCCCAGGCCTGCCTCTACCCCAGGCCCAGCACTGGCAGAGGGGCTGGTCTATGCCAGGGCTGCCATTGGGCCGCCCCCCTCAGCAGCTTTCACCGTTAGTCAGCTCTGCACCTTGGAATGATGTGGGCTGGGGCAGGGCCAACCATCTGTACGTTTCCACCAGCAACACACAGGGCAGTCCTCTCCCCCCTCTCTGGTCCCAGCACTGCCCCGTCCTTCGCCCTCACCCTCGCCCTTCCCCTGCCCCAGGATCAAGCAGTGCACACGGGTGGCTATGGAGCAGCTGTCCACAGTGCACCACGAGATGGGCCACATCCAGTACTACCTGCAGTACAAGGACCAGCCTGTCTCCCTGCGCCAAGGCGCCAACCCTGGCTTCCATGAGGCCATCGGGGATGTGCTGGCGCTCTCTGTCTCCACTCCTGTCCATCTGCACAAAATTGGCCTGCTGGACCAAGTCATCAATGACACAGGTATGGGGGCATAGAGGCCCCAGCCAGCCCCACAACGTCCACAGCAGGACTCCGCTAGCGCCTGCTCCCAACTGCCCTTCTCGTTTCTGCTGCACTGCTCGGGGCAGGCACGTTTGGGAATCCACCTGAGGCCCCACTCAACTCTGCCCAAGGACCCTCTGCCAATCAGGGCCCATCGTCTCCAAGGCTGGTCCTCTCTTCTCTGCCTCTGCCCCGCCATTCCTCCCACTGGCTCCTCCCCAGCCCCACCTGATCCCAGCCGGACTCCCTTTTCTCCTCCAACCTCTCTCCGCTCATCTGCCAACAGAAAGCGACATCAATTACTTGTTAAAGATGGCACTGGAAAAAATTGCCTTCCTGCCCTTTGGCTACTTGGTGGACCAGTGGCGTTGGGCGGTCTTTAGTGGACGCACCCCTCCTTCCCGCTACAACTCTGACTGGTGGTATCTTCGGTGAGTGAACGGGGATCAGGAAGACCTGATGGCTGCCCCTCCTGGGCAAGCAGGAGCCTCCTGCCTCCGTCAGTCCCAGGCCCCTCCTCTCTAATGATGTCTCCATCCTTTTCCCCACTGCTTTCTTCTTTCCTGCCGAAAACTCCCTCCCCCAGGAGCCCTTCCTCCCCAGCTCACCTGATGGGGAAGGGGTGGCCAGGGGCGGGGGGGAGGGGTGGTGGTGTTGGGGCGGGGAATGCCTGCTTAGAGGCTTGTCTGCAAAGTCTAAATCAGTCCTTATGCAACACTTAGGTCCTAAGGTAATTTAACCATTTTCTTCTAGAGTCAAGTATCAGGGCATCTGTGCCCCAGTTATCCGAAATGAAACCCACTTTGATGCCGGATCTAAGTATCACATCCCACATATGACACCGTACATCAGGTACTGCTGCCCCACCCAATCCTGTCCCACCTTTCGTCCCCTTCCCTCTGCTCCTGGGGCTCTGGCCCCATCCCATGCCCAGGGCTTGTCCCCACATTCTTTCCTGGAATTCGAATGGGCCTCTCCCCAGAGCCAGGCTTCGTTCTCCCTCCTCCCCAGGTGGCCCCTGTCTCCCCTCTGCCCTGTGGGAAGCTGGATGGTGCCTGGGCAAGGGGCCCTCACCAGCCCCCTGAACACCCACCCTGTGCCTTCAGGTACTTTGTGAGTTTTATCCTGCAGTTCCAGTTCCATCAAGCCCTGTGCAAGGAGGCGGGCCACCAGGGCCCACTGCACCAGTGTGACATCTACCAGTCCACCAAGGCAGGGGACACGCTCCGGTGTGTGGGAGAAAACGGCGGGCGCGTGGGAGGGTTAGAGGAGAGGCTGGTGAAGGGTATGTCTGGAAGGCAACTGGCTGCTCCACGGGACCCCTCAGGGCCAGCCTCAGTGGGTGGCGCCTGTCTTCCCTACCCCCTGCTTGCTTTCTCACGTCAAATATGTGTTCAGTGTGCCCAGATCTGAGGCCCAGTGGCAATGTCCCCAGCCCCCTTCATGGAGATCCGAGGTCCCAGAGTCTTGACGCCACTGTTCTTTTTTTTTTTTTTTTTTAATATATACTTTATTGATTTTTTACAGAGAGGAAGGGAGAGGAATAGAGAGTTAGAAACATCGATGAGAGAGAAACATCGATCAGCTGCCTCCTGCACACGCCCTACTGGGGATTGTGCCCGCAACCCAGGTACATGCCCCTGACCGGAATCAAACCTGGGACCCTTGAGTCCGCAGGCCGATGCTCTATCCACTGAGCCAAACCGGTCAGGGCGATGCCACTGTTCTTGCAGTCCGGTGGGGGCAAAAGTGGCCGGAGGTGGGGCAGGTGGGCCAATAGTGGACACTGGCCTGAGGCCCTTGTGTCCATGGTGCCCGTTCTGCCTGGCAGGAAGGTGATGCAGGTGGGCTCCTCCCGGCCCTGGCAGGAGGTGCTGAAGGAAGCGATCGGCACAGATGCCCTGGACGCTCAACCGCTGCTCAACTACTTCCAGCCAGTCAGCCAGTGGCTACAGGAGCAGAACCAGCGGAACGGCGAGGTCCTGGGCTGGCCAGAGTTTCAGTGGCAGCCTCCGTTGCCCAACAATTACCCAGACAACGTTGGTAAAGCTCTGAGTGAGAGTGGGGCAGGCCCTAAGGCACATTCTCCATTCTGGGCTCTGGAGGCCAGCTCCCTGTTCCAGTTCCTGGTCAGCTCCCCCCGCGGGGCCCTGGTGCCCAGCTCTGGAGCGCCAGGCCACCCCTTCACTCATCAGCAGGGCCCTGGGGTGGGAATGGGGCCGTCTTTCACCCAGCATTTTGAAATAAGTGAATATTTCAATACTCCTTTCCCCCCCCCCCCCCGGCCCCGAGGGTCCCCCAGAGGCAGGCTGGCGCATCACACTGCTCTATGAGGTCACACTGCAGGCTCCGCTCTTATTGGCCGGGGGCGGTGGCTGCAGGGCTCTGGTCTCCTGCGGCCATGGGCCAAGGTTGGGCTGCTCCAGGACTGCCCAGCCTCCTCTTCCTCTTCCTGCTCTCCTTTGGGCACCCCCTGCTGGTGGTCCTCAGCCAGGAGGTCACCCAGGTGGCAACCAACCATGGAACAACCGGAAACCAGACAGCAACTCACCAGGCAGCAACCAGCAGCCAGACAACCCACAGCCCAAGCGGGACCAGTGGGTGGATGGGGCAGGGCCTTGAGGGGGCGAGGAGCGGGCAGGGAGGAGGGAGGCGGGGGAGCAACTCAGCACAACTCCAGGAGAGGGCACGGGGAAGCCGGGCTGTCTCCCTCCGCTCTGTCCCACAGTTTTGGTGACGGATGAAGTGACGGCCAGAGACTTTTTGGAGGCCTATGACAAGAAATCCCTGGTGGTGTGGAATGAATATGCGGAGGCCAACTGGAACTACAACACCAACATCAGCAGAGAGACCAGCATGATCCTGGTAGGGGCCCACTCCACGCCCACAGTGCAAGGCCCCCCTCCCCCTCCCCCCGGGTCCCCTCAGTGCAGGGAGGCTGCCGGAATTTGTGAAAAATCCAGATGGAATATTTTAAAACAATTTTCAGGTTTGGATGGGCCTCTACTCAATGCCTAAACAAGTTGTATCTCTTTCCAATCTGTTGTTAGTGAAAGAATAAGTTGTACACAAATAAGTGTTGCTAAGGTCAGTTTTCTAAAAGATGCGACGCCCATGTTTGCTACCACAGCCAGGGCTACCCTTCCCTCCAACCCCCTTCCCGACTTGCGTGGGGAGTGCAGACTATCCCAAGGTGAGCCACAGAGAACCAACATTTCTTGAAGACCATTGTGAGCTGGCCAGGGTTCCGTGCCCTTTACATCTGTGGCTTCATTTATTCCTCAACAGCCTTGCAAAACCAGTGATCTTATTCCCATTTTACAGATGGGACCCTGAGGCTCAAGGAGGCCAGTCGCAGCGCTAACACCAAGCTACCTTCATCCTAACAGCCTTTACGATATGGGGTGGGGTTCCCCTTCTCTCCCATGCCAGGATATGTCTGTGGGCATCTGTTGAGGGGCATGGACTGCATCTAGGGCAATAGACAGTCCAGGTTGAAGAGGGTCTTTATAGGCAAAGGCAACAACTTGATAAAACTGCCCTCCCTACTACCACCCCCAGGCCCTTTGGCTCCCCCCACAGCACGGTTCCCCCTGTACTTTCAGATGGAGAAGAACACACAGATGGCAAACCACACCGTAGAGTTTGGCACCCGGGCCAGGCATTTTGACATTACCTACTTCCAAAACACCACCCTAAAGCGGATGATATACAAGATTCAGGACCTAGAGCGGGCAGCGCTGCCTACCTCGGAGCTGGAGGAGGTATGTGTAGCCTGGGGAGTGGGTGGGAGGCGGGGAGAGGGCAGGGAGTGGAGGGCCCAAGGTCAGGACGAGGTCCCAGCTCAGAGTGAGCCTAGTACAGAATCTGGCCTTTATGATGCCGCTCTTCGAGGATTTGGCAAGCCGTACCATCTGCCTTGTCAGTGTGTCTATAGAGTAACTAAGAAGATAGAATCTTTGGGACCAGGTGCCCCCCAGGTCCATTGCCGCTGCCCCCCCCACACACACACACACACTGTGATGGTGCCGGGCGGCGCAGGCAGCAAAGGGGTGCAGCTCGCTGCCTCTTTTCTTCCTCCTGCAGTATAACCAGATCCTGCTGACCATGGAAACCACTTACAGCGTGGCCTCCGTGTGCCTCCCCAACGGCACTTGTCTGCAGCTGGAGCCCAGTGAGCGCACATGGGGAAGGAGAGGGTGGGTTTCAGGGGCGGGGGCGGGGGCTGGGGTTGGCGCAGTGTTGGGGGTGCTGGCAGGTGAAAAGGTGTTTAGGTGCTCCTATCTGGTGGGGTCAGCATGCCCAGGAAACTCACCTCCCTGTTTCCCACCAGTGGGGCCTCCCTGCCACCACTCAGAACCAGCACCGACTTCCTCTCGGCCCTAAACCACTGCCCTGCCCGCCCACAGGCTCCCACCAGGCCAGGACCCCTCTGGGATCTCCTCTCCCTCCCTGTTCCCTGCACTCCCAGCAGGGGATCTCTCAAACTTGTCTTCCCAGGACTCAGACTCCCAAATCAGAACAGGAACTCTAGACACTTCCCCTTCGTGCTCCTTTCTTGATCCTTTTCACGGCTTCCCCACCGTCTCTGGCACCTCCCTTGCCCCCCACCCCCACCCTCACCCAG